AATGAACAGATTAATCAAAGTATTGTCCATCGCTGGCTACTACTTTTTTCCACCTCTCAGGCAATTTTCGAATTCCATCTCGAAAAAATGTCTCGTCTTTTGAGGCGATCCAAGTTAGGAGCCAATTTTCGATTTCTGCGAAAGAAGTGAACCGGTGACCTGCCAAATCGTGTTGCATCTGTCGGAATAACCAGTAATCAGAAGGAGCAATGTCTGGCGAATATGGCGGGCGCGGTGAAATATCCCACTTGAGCGTTTCCAAATAATTTTTTACGACTTCTGCGACATGAGGCCGAGCGTTATCATGCAGAAGAATAACTTTGTCATGTCTTTGCTCGTATTCCGGCCGTTTTTCTTGTAATGCACGGCTCAAACGAATCAATTGTAGCTTATACCGATGGCCCGTAATGAAATCGCCAGGTTGTAGCAGCTTATAGTATACAACACCCTTTTGGTCCCACCAGATATACAGCATGACCTTCTAACCATGAATATTTGGCTTTGGTGTTGATGTTGAGGTCGATGGCAACGATTGACCGGGCATAGTGTAGTATTTTTTTTTCTTGAGGTTATCGTAGAATATCCATTTCTCATCCCCAGTCACAATCCGATGTAAAAAACCCTTTCTTTGTTGCCTTTGAATCAGCTGTTCGTAAGTGAAAAATCGCCTTTCAACGTCATATTGTGTCAACATAATATTGTGAAACACAAAGCTATTGTATTAGCTAGATATTATCTAACTTATTTTCGAGGATAACATCCCTTATAGAAAAGTATCACTGGCTGTGATAAATTGGCCAGTAATAAATAATAATTTTATTATTTGTACGAGTAATAAAATTATTGAACGACAGTAATTATCACTGGCCAAATTATCACTTATCAGTATTAAATTTCTATAAGGGATGTATCCAATAAAACAGTTTTATTTAACAGTGTTTCTCGCTAGACGAACGAACTAAAACAATCATTGTAATATATGTATTTTTCGATACATGCATTTATATGCATGAATTCATATATTGAGGCATTTCTCTGTTGCCAAGTGTACTTTAAAGTTTTATATTCTATTTTATTGTATAAGACGCGAGTAAAATAAACAATATATAAATATGATGTTAAAAAAAATTTAATAAAGTATAAGATATATTTATTACGTAAACGTATAACATTCCTAAATATATATGACATTCTTAAATTTTTAAATCATAAGAATTGAACATTATTAAAATATTATAAAATTATTTAGATACCGCGACTGTCATCTCTCCATTCCACTCATTTCATGGCATTTAGGTTCCTCTCGTAAGATATTCCATTTCAAGGATGAAATTAACTCAAAATTTTATCAGACTTTGGCGAGTGTTGCCTCGTGCTCTATTTACTGTATAGGTTGCGATACTATTATTATTACTGTTGTTATTAATATTGTTATTGTTATTATCAATATAAAGTTAAAAATAATACTGGAATAACACACATGTATTAATTTCGCGTGTATTATTTCAGTGTTATTTTTAACTTTAAATTGATAACAATAACAATAACATTAATAACAATAATAATAATACCGCGCTCTACCCTTATAGAAATATTATACTAAGAAATACTGAAAAATTATTAGTGATTAAATATTATCAGTAATTCAGTAATTTTTTGGTCAGTACTTAATTTCTGGTGAATACTGATAATAAAATCACTGTTAAATATTGATAGTAATCAAATACTGAGAATTATTATGCGAAGGTGAAAAATGAGAAAATCATAATGTTTACAAAAATATACTTATATTCCTAATTGTCTCATAAACTACTAGATATCGAAGGTTGTCACAACACATTCCAAACTTTCATGAATCCTCCTGCGATAATTTCGATCGCAAGCGGTATACCACTGGTCACCAAATCCATGTCCTGACCGCATTAAACTGTTGCTTAACCTGACGATCGAGCGCGCACACGGTGACTCTGATGACTCCAACGATGTTCTTACAATTCATGCTTATATAATGTATCCTAATATTGTTCACAGTATATTATAACATACCTAGCAAACACCAAATAATAGTTATATAATTTTTACTTGTTGTTTATTGGATAATTTGTTGATAGATATTGAAACAATGCAACATTCCATATGCGATGAATATTGATGTAATGTAGTGAACCAGTGATAATTA